TATATATATATATATAAATAAATTTGCGACCGCTAATGTAAGTACTGTGTTTAAATTAATTTTTTAACGTGTTTCAAAAATCAAAACGTACATCAAAACCTGTTTCATTGTTGTAAAAAACACAAAAGTGTTAAAGGGCGGTTATTGTAAACAACTAGTTTCATCAGACAATTGAACTAGTTTTGAGATTTTACACCTCTTTTCTCATTAGTTACGACAGACTACACTTGGGTTTTGTTTATAAAAATAAATAACCACAAACAATTACTTTTGTTCAAATAGTTTCGATATTGCATGAAAAAATATCCTTATTTACTTAAATAGTTTCGGAGTCACCAGGATATACAATCAACATTAAGCTGATCACATTTTCGACAGTTCTTTGTCTTTAACTACAATGGCAGCATATTCGAAATTTCGGTTACAACCATAATGTATATAGAGGATCAAGAATCTAAAAATTCTTGGAAAAAATATGTTTATTCAGGAAAAGATTGTTTTTTATGTCTGAATTTGTGCTTCAAAATAGCGTATGAAAAAGTTTTTTTAGCGTAATTTATGTTTGACACTCAGACCATGCAGACTTAATCTTAGTAAGGGACAATGCAATCCTTAAATTTGTTTTTATTTTGTGAACTGTACTACACAATTTAAATTCTTTGCCCGGATTGTCAGAAAAAAATTCACTAGTTAACTTCTTCTTCTTATTATTGAGCACGACAGCCCCTTACAGGCCTTGGCTGCCCCTTACAGGCCTCCAACGCCTCCTATCCATGGCGACTTTTTTCCAGTTGTTAATCTTTATTACTTTGAGGTCTTTAGTAGTGTCATCCAGCCATCTAGTTGGAGGTCTTCCTCTGGCCCGAGATCCAGAAACATAACTGTTCATTTGAATCTGAAGGCAATCTTATTTTATAATTCTTTTAATTTGTATATGTTTTCTAAAAAAAGTAGGACTGGTGCTCCCTGGCCTGAAGAAAAAAAACTTAAAATGTTTAAATTCAGTTTTTATCTAATCATTAAAAAAGCAAATCATTGAAGACTTTTTAGTACCAAGTAAATCAAGTAATTACATTATTTTTATACCTAAATAAACTGACTTTTGCCGGCCAGGTGGCCGAGCGGTTAGCGTGCCTGACTGCGAAGCCATAGGCTGTGGGTTCGAATCCCGCTCTGGGCATAGATGTTTCTCTCTCTCTTTATGCTGTCCTTTGTTGTGTGTATGATGTGTGAATGTGGCCCACCCTATAAACGGGTTTGTGGCAGTGTGACGTGGGCAATGTTGCTCGCCTCCGAGACTTTGGTTCGCAGGTGCCCACTGGTTAACGCGAAATGAGCAACCATTCTGGCATAGTATAGGCAAAGATTCAAATTTAGTGCCTGCCATTGGGGAAAAAAAACTGACTTTTTTTGTTAGAACTTAAATTATTTTTGTTTCCTCCCAATTTTGTGATCCCTTATAAAGGTATTCCAGATTGTAGTTAAACTGTACCAAATCTTAAAAGATCTCTCAAAATTCTGACACGCATCTCCAGGTATGTTAGTCTATTGAATACATACCCGAAGATCTTTTTCGATTGCATAGTAATAATATAGATGTGTACTTATTATTAATTTGCTGAAAGATGATATTTAAAATATCATATCAAAATTGAAACTATTATTTTAAGTATTATTAACTAAGAAGTATTAGTTATTATTAAGAAGGAAGTATTAAACACGAATAAGCATTGATGGAGTAAATGCAGAGCGTTAAGATCAATGAAGATGAGATATTTTCAGGAATATTAAGTGTTTATCGGCAAGCAGATACTCTTGAACATGCTACTTGTATTCAATATATCAACATGTTAAGACGTTGTTAGGAACTTTCTTCTCTCAAGCACCGTATTTAGAGTAAACTCTTTTTTCAAACAAAAATAATGGCTAGGAAAGCAAAAAAGAATAAGGTATCTTTTCTAAATATATTCTTATTTATGTAACTGAATTCAATAATGTTTAGATACTACCAGATATAATCAATTTCCCTTTTTTTCTCCAACTTCGAACTCATGCGGCATCGTGGTGATTTTAATTATTTGAGTGGCGCTTAATCGGTATGATACGGTATCACGGTTTGAATAATTGCATACCCTACCGTGCATGTAAGAGTGAAAAATACATGATCCGAATCTTTGCATGCCCCGAGCATGTTGAGCAATATAATTTTAGAACCCTGTCCTGTTCTAAGTTTTTTATTTTACAGAATACGCAAGATTGATTAATAAATATGCGACGTTTAAACTCTTGAATGAATATAGAAGAAAACACTAAGCTTACTTGACTTCAGAATCTGATCCATAATTATAAAAGTCCTCATAATATGTATCCCTTGCTTCGAACTCTGTTTTCCACGTACCTTTGAAATAAATAGCGTTTATTATGAGAAGTTTTGTTTCTGTACTCAAATCACTTAAGAGCTCGCTGATTTTTCCACGAGTCACCTCATTTACCCAATCATTAACTTCTTCCATAATTTGATCTGAATTTTCCAGAAAATCGACATTTTCGACATATGCGTGGAAAAAATCTCGTACTTGATTTTTGTAACTGGTGTATACGATAAAGTTTTCGTCTAGCAATAATTCATTGGCAAGATTCAAGGTGTATTCAGGATTGGGTGATTGGTTTTGGGGTAAAACCATCTCAAGGTATTGGTCGAAGGCTGTGGAAACCTTGCTACTGTTCAATTTGGCTGAGTCATATCCTAAAGCAGATCTGAGTTGCTGAAAAATGAATTTTGTAGTTCAATGAAAAAAAATATTTGGTTATAATAATTCAATCAATTATAATTCATTAAAATGGAATGCGATTAATAATATTGAAATGGATTTATTTGAAAATGTTTAACACACATTGATGTATAGTTAGTTTTTATAAAATAATAAATAAGAAAAAAAAAGATTTTGTTTCTCTGTGGATTTATTTAATTGGGTATAATATAAAAAAAAACACAACTACTTCCACTTAGTAGGAATAACATTTACCATGACGCAATGCTAAATTCTATGCTACTATCCACATAAATGTCACTATCCACATAAATGCCACTATCCACATAAATCAATTATTAATCAAAAATCGAATATCAATTACTTTTCTTTATAATGCAATAAAATCTGGCGAGCAGCTATTTAAACGATCAAACACTTCGTTTGTTTATTTGTGGCTTGAAGTTAGGCTCGCAGAAAATGCCGTTCATGGGTTAAATTTAGTAGGAATAACACAACCTGTGACGTAGGCTATAGTATACCCAATTGAACTTTAATATTTTGGAAAATTTGAGCAATGTTCATTTTTTATCATTCAAAAAGTCATTTGATCAATTATGGTCGAAAAAATTAAAATTGAGTTTTATTATATTTCCTGTTTTACAACAGAACTAGGAGGCTTCGCCCCCTGATCGTTGGCCCTCGCTAGCCCCCGGAACTGCTTTCGCAGTTCATTTCGGATTGCTTCGCAATCCGATGCTCGCTCATTGGATACGTTCTTAACGTCTAGCTTTTGTATACTATTTTGAACACTGAAGTTCTGAAAACTTTTCACTGTAGAAAATTCTAAGTCTGTGCATTTCAATATTAATTTGAAATTGCAAACAGTTCACATATTTTTCTTAATCACACTATTCTAAATTTCAGTTGTTGAGAAAAGTAACTGTTGTAAGTTTTGTTTTAAAGTCTTTCCCACCAGAGGGCTGAAACCATGTCTTGTAAAACAATATGAAATAGTACTGAACGCCGGAGGTAAAGCATCGGCTTCGATGAAGATAATTTTGTGAGAAAGTGTTTGATAATTCGGTGAGAATTCACCCGATTAGCCATATGATACTCACTACGTGCTCTTGCGCGCCGAAGCCTATCAATTAAAAGTGAAAACTGTTGCCAACGTGAGAAAAGAAATATCATCGGTTTTATTGATACTTACGTACGTATTAGCGTTTTATATAATATAGATAGATGCTTTTAACTGTTGGTTAATATCAAAACAAAGACTGTGTTTGTTTCTTTGTAAGCATGTTTGCTGCTTGCTCCTAATAATGTAAACAAATGTTGGGAAAATTGGTGAATGAAATGACAGAGTCGGTTGCAACTATTCTGTCAGGACAAGAAATTTTTGGATTAAGAGTAACGAAAAAAGAATGTAAAAGAAAGGAAAGGTACTATTACAGCTATTACACGGAGAAAAAAAATTGGGGTAAAATTACATTACTCGACGTTAAAGATATTTCTGATAAATGGCATTAAAACAACAATAAATGGTATTTAGAATATTTATATGGTAACAGTTTCCGATCATATGGGAACGGTTTACCGGAAATTCTGGTTCCCAAAATTATAGATCTTATTCCCACACCTTTTATAAAATTGATAATTAAATATAACCAATAAAAAAGGTTTTTATACCATGTTAAGATATCATGATAATGTTACTACATTTATCGAATTTTATTGCATAAACCATATTGTATTGTTAATTTTACAAAAATGAGTAACCAATGTGGTTTGGTAAAAAATTAATGAGCCTTTCGGCGTTTTCATAGCTTTAGAAACACGGTAAATTTCAAAATGTTTCCATATTGTTGTTGGTCCATGTTTCCTAATTGTTGTCGAAAATATTAAAATTGAGTTCGATTAAACTTCTCAATAAATTGCTGCAGACTGTTGAATAATATCAAAAGAAAAACTATGTGTTTGTGATAAAAACTATTTGGATAAATTGGTGAAGGAAATGGCAGAGTCGGTTGCAATTAGTCTGCACCAAACTCAATGTAAATATCATTATCAGGGCAAGAATTTTAATAGGTTAAGGAGGGGGGAGGAGAAAAAGCGTGAAAAAGGGGAAAGGTTTATTATGGCTACTTTGGAACATGTTTTTATCTCTTAACTGATAAAATAACATTGGGAATTGCGAATATGAAAGGAAAATAAGAAAAATGAGTACAGCTGGAAATTTCAAATAGACGACTGGAAATATGACAAAAATATGTTTGAAAAATACGAAAATAAGAGAGGAAAATAAAGAAAACCTCCTTTACAGAAAAATACAGATAAATACAGAAAGAACTTTCTGTATTTATACGAACTTATAAAAAATGAACACAACCCGTTACTAATGTCAAAAACAGAAAAGAGGGTGTTTAAAGCTAAATTTCTTAATATTTCAAATAAATAAATGTGTTTATTTATCTTTCTTATACATCAAAAATATTTTCTATTTAAATTTTTTTTAAATTGAATGCTTATTGCTAATTTATTCATTTCCAAGCATTTCAAATTCAAGTAGTTCTTATCTTCGACTCACGCACACAAAATATGCATTTGCCCCCCCCTCCCCCCATAAAAACGTATCCAAATAAGGACAGGGTATACTTTGTGGCTACGTATGAATAACACAAGACAACGGTTCCTCGGTGGAATGATCGTAAAGACATGGTTTCCAGTAGAACACCGAATTTAAGCATCACTGTTTTCTGCTAGTAAGCGGGTGGGTGACTACTTTGATCAGCGTGCGTAGGTATCGACCCTCGTTAAACTGTTCTACCGTAAAGTAAACGACTTCACGAGGAGGTCGTCCGGCTACCAAATCAGGGGAGCCATCCCCTCTGCAGAGGATCAAAACTGCGATGGCATGTCTCCGGATCCTCCATTGGGTTGTTTCCCAGATCGTCTCCAATAGATCTAGTGCAACGTAAATAAATTACCTCCAACCAAAAAAGGATAACGTAAATAAAGTACAAATAAAGATACAGAATTAGACCAAATCATCCATTTCTGTATCTTTAATTGTGCATTCATGTTATTTTTATTTTTTAAGAAAAAGAAACTAGGCAATATTTCATTGAAACAACCAAAAATTATCATTGATTACCTTTTTTGTGTTTTTCTTGGCTCCAGCAAATAGCACTCCAAATGCGTTAGATATGCTGAAAGGAGAGAAAAAGATGTTCTCAGAGTTTCCCGTCACAAGTATTTGGTAAAGCTTGAGTCCTAGATCATTATTAGCTGTTGC